TGTTTTTCACTAGTGTTTTCCATATCACTAGGGTCAATAATTTCAAGTAATCTACAATCTTACGAGAGCGCGGTATCGAATAACCAGCTCTGGCCATTGTCACCAAATGCATCGCCACCAGAAACTCGGGATACGATAGCTGGCCATCTCTACCAGCATCAGCAAGGTCCTGAGGTCCACGACAGTGAATATACTCCCTGCAGTTGAGTTTAGTACCCATATCGTAGTGAGCACCTCAGAAGTGAGATTACTCTTGATAAGGAGATCCCTAGCATCGGCACCACACACGAAGCCAGAGGTAGATATAGCCTTGAAAACCTCAGTATACTTCTCAAGGTGCTTGCCTATTCAACAGCAAGTCCTTCCCTATACACCCAGCAAGCCTTACGTGAGATCCTCCACACAGGGCTGCTAAGGTCTATGCCGTTGGCATACTCCTCAGCAATCACCTCATCAGCTACATCATCAGTAGAATGCCGTGTAGAGGTAGGAGGGGCAGGAGGAGTTTCAGTTTGGACACCCTCGAACACTGGCAACTTCACAGGGGGAACCTGTCGGAACTCATCGAGACCACATAGGAGTCCTCTGTAGTCCCCACTGTAAGCAGGTCCTCAGTCATCTCCCCAGCGCCATTCTGGGCGTGCGCTACTAGTCTACATGCCTGGTAAAACCTACAACAGGACCATATCGCCCATATCCCTACTCTCACAATTGTGTACTCATCAATAGTTAGATTGCCCTTATTATCACTATCCGCCAAACACCATATATCATGAAGTGTTTTCCGAGGCAACTTCGATGATGATAAAAACTGTGCTGCCTCCTGAGCGCCAAGCACTCCACGCTTCTTCGTATCAGCCGCTCGGAACAGCTTGGGGTAACTTCAACAACAAAGACTCCCACACAGCAGCATCAACAACCAGCCAACCTACGTTTCCCGTTCCTCCGCTGTCAGCAACACCACTGTGTGCGTGGCTAGTAAGGACGCCAGGCTCTGCCT